ACGTGGGCTCTGTTTCTTCTGAGCTAGATGGCCGCTTCTAGCCTTCAAGACCCCAGACGCTATCTTTTTTTCTCACTCCCCCTCCCCCTAGATCCCGCCCGACGCTATATCTTTTGATAGCCAGGCACCAAGAGATCTTGTGTAGGAGATTTGCCCAGTGCAGTGCATTGTTTGATTTTGTCACTACTGCTTCCTTGAGTGGCCTTTGTGGATCCAAGTAAAATCAAGTCTTTGACAACTTCAATCTTTTCCTATTTATTACGATTTTGTGTATTGATCCAATTGAGAAAATGTTGGTTTTCTTTACATAGAATTATAGTTCATATTGAAAACGGTAGGCTTTTATTCACCAGTAAGTGCTTCAAGTCCTCCTCTCTTCCAGCAAACATGGTGTGTCATCTGCATGTCACAGGTTGTTAATATGCCGTGTTGGTGTTCATATATCCAGCTTCTCTGATTGTGCTCAGCATTCATATTGAATAAGTATCGTGAAAATGTACCAGTCTGAAGCACCCCTTTCCTGATTTTAAGATATGCAATCTCGTTTGTCTGTTCAAGTAACTAACTCTTAGACTTTTGTACAGGTTCTAAATGAGCACAATGAAATGTTCTGGAATTCGCGTTCTTCTCAGTTTTATCCATAATTTGCTATGATCCACAGAGCCGATGCCATATATTGCCAGTGAAGTGCAGAGAAACATTTCTCTGGTATTTTCTGCGTTCAACCAAGATCCATCTCATGTCAACAGTGCCCTTCTATTCCATGCCTCCTTCTGCATCCAGCTTAAATTTTAGCAGCTCCTTCTCAAATTTATGACAGTTTTCTATAAATATCATTATTCTATAATTTCTTCATTCTGTTGGGTCACCTTTCTTTGAAAGGGGCATAAATAAGGATCTCTTCCTGTCAGTTAGGCAGATGGTTGTCTTTGAAATTTCTTGACAGAGGAGTGAGTACCTCTAGTGCTGCATCAATTTGCTGAACATTTCTCTTTGCATTAATTCCTGGTTCCTCAATTTTAGAAATATCTTCTGTGTAACTTTGACACTTTGACTTCTTTCAGTGTCAATGGTTTTTACTTATATGCTAACTCTGGAAATAGCTGAATGTCGACTAGTTCTTTTTGATACAGTAACGTTGTTTATTCCATCTTCTTTCTGCATCACTCAATATTTTCCCATTATATTCCCTGAGTATTTCAACTCAGGCCTGAATTTTTCCTTCTGGTCTTTCACTGTGCTCTGCGCTTTTGGTTTTCTAACTAGATCGCTGAGCATTTATTTATTATACTACTTTACTTTGTCTTCTCCAGGTGTCCTCGGAAATCTTCGGTGTTTGTAAGTCCAAGAGCAGATTTCCGAGTCTCCTCTGACAACCATTTTCTTTTGTTTTCTAAAACAGCCATTTGCTTTGCTCCGAATTGACTCACTAACAGTGGATGCATCTTTTGCTTTTGAGTCAGAATTAACTATGGCAATTTTGCTTTCTTCGTTTAATTTTGATTTCACCGACAGCTAGTCTGGTCTCCGGTTATTCATATTCAGTGTGCCAAATCTATTGTTTAGATGTTCTCAAATATATTTCAGCCAGGCCATGGTTTGCCTCATTAGACGTGTTTTCATTTTCCTCTGCTTCAACCTAAATTTGCATAAGAACAATTGATTTGTCTATTCCATATTTGGCCCCTGTAAGATGATATTGAGCTCTCTAATACCTCCAGATGTAGTAGATTTGATTCCTGTGTATCCATCTTTCATATGTATATAGTCACCATTTATATTGCTCGAAAAAAACGGATTTTCAAGGAGGCAATCATTGATCTTGCAAAATTCTATCATGTGATTTCCAACATTTCTATCAGTAGGCCTTATTTTACAAATACCTTCTCCTTTGTTTGCTACTTTTACATTTCAGTCACTAGTAATTATCAGTGCATCTTGATTGTACGATTCCTCAATTTATTCCATGATTGGTTTTATGGATTTGTGTGTAAATTTAAATAATAGTCGTTGTACTTCTCTATCACAGACAGCATTGTACTTCATAATAGATCTCGAAATGTTCCTTTTGGTGATAAATATAACACCATTTCTCTTCAGTTTGCCTTTTTTGGCATCAGAAACCATGTGCTTATCTCATTAAAAATGGCCAGCATCATTTCATGTTACCTTATCAGTGCCTAGTATATATCAATCTTTATGTGTTCCACTTTACTTTTGATGACTTCCAGTTTTATGAGATTCACTTTAGTACATTCCATTTTCCAGTTGTCATTGGACGTTTGCAGCTGTTTCTTCTTGTGTGTCTGCCCCATCGGCAGATGATTGTCCCAAGCGCTGTGCTCCATCTCTTTCTTAAGATTGACTCGATTTTGAGAAGACGTTTCCCCAGTTGTGTGTGCGTGCCGTCCAACCTGAGGGACTTGTCTTCCTGCGCTGTATCTGACAGGGCTACTGGTCATAACATGTTCAGTGGCTAGCGTTTCTTTCGTGTCTCAGTTGTTCCTCCTACGCTTTCTTAGTCTGGAAGCTCAGTTGAAACCTGCCTGCCATGCTTGGATGACCCTGTTGGTATTTGAACTATTCGTAGCATGACTTCCAGCCTCGTATTGGCAGAGAGGAAAACATAAGAATCCCTGAATTAAAGTAATGAAAACGTAAACTTTTTTTTTTTTTGGCAGGATGGGCTATAAAAGCAATCTAATTAAAAGCCACAAAATGTTAGCACAGTGAGTCCCTGGCCCTGGTAGTTATGTTTTTCTAAGCTTGAATGGAAGCTTCTTACTCCCTGTCATGTACCAAAAATGAGTAGAAATCTGATTGAACAATATAATGCTTTTTAAAAATAAGAGTATTTGTATATGTGTACTTTTTTAAGTTCTGTGAATGAATCACTGAAGACCAGTGAGTGTATATATTCTATGATCAGTGTTCAGTCTACCCCCAGGAATAAACTCAAAACTAACCAAAATGCCGGTTCATTGGAACATATTTTGAATAGATTATGTCACCTTCACCATTTTAAACTATAACCTGATAACAGTAGAAACCATTTGAATGACCATTGATCCTAAATGTTTTTTCAATTGGGGTACACCCACAAGGCATTTCCACTTGTATTTGTAAGTAAAGAAATTTTTTTTTAGAATCAGTTGAGTTTTAGTGACTTGATTGCTTAAGTATTTTAATAATGAAAAGGCACTGAAATATTAATTAAATCATAAAGTTTCAGTAAAATCATAGATAGTAAAAATGAATGTGGTAGTCTAAGTAACTGCCTTTTTTTAAAAGTTAGCTATCATCCTGAAAAGGAGCTTTTTTTATGGCACCGTGGTTAAAGACCTTGCTGGTAACTCTAAGGTTGTCCGTTCAAGCCCACTCAGGTTTCCTGACAGCAAGGCTTGACCATCTGTTCTGAGAAAGATCATCCCCGAGGAAAACCAGTGGGGCAGTTCTAGTAGGACTCTGTCAAGCTGAGTTGAAAAATTGACTGGACAACATTTAACAACATTGGTGTTTTTCTTCATTTGCTTAAGTCCACATTCTGAAAGCAGATGCTCTTAGTGTCGTGTCTCGGGTCACTTTCCTGACAGCGTCACGGGCGTTCTGCAGATCTCATAGGGTCGCTGTGAGTCAGATTTGACTCCATGAGAGTGGCGTTTTAAGGCTGTATTTATAAACATATAGTTGAAGGCATCAGTCTTCAACCAGGGGGCAGCCTTGCCTTCCAGAGGGACATTGGCAATGTCTAGAATAATTTTTACTGTCCTGCATTGCAGTCAGTGTGCTACTTGTATCTGGTAGGTATCGACCAGAGATACTGCTCAGTACCCTTATAATGCACAGGATGGCCTTTAACAAAAAACCATTTCGTTCAGAATTTCAGCAGTGTTGGACCTCTGACTTAAAGGTCAGCAGTCCAAACTTAGTAGCCACGCTTTTGGAGAAAGATGAGACTGCCCCTGGATGGATTGATAGTCTTGGAAACCCTAGAAGGCAGTTCTGCTCAGTTCAGCAGTCGTTGTGAGCTGGAATCAACTCAGAGCAGGGGGTCTGGTTGCGTGTTTGAGGCTGAGATACTCTCGTTTAGAATTGATGCTGGTTTTCCTACCACTGTGGATATTTTAAAAAAAATTATCACAGTCACCAAAAGTAATTCCCAAATAATTGAACTAGAGTTCAGAATTTTTTGCTATCTACTCCTGAAATAATTATTTTTAGGAATATGATTATCATTGGTAGGGATGTGATACCTAGAGCGTTGTTTTCTATACATTAGTTACACACATGCACACTCACACAGTGACGCATATTCAGTGTGAAGAGGGCCCAGGATGTAACAGACTCTGGGAGTACTTCACATTTGCTGCTTACGGCTATAAATTGTTTATCAGCAAGTAGGAAAAAAAGGTGATTTGGAGGGAATAGAGAATGCATTGGGTAAATCAAGAACTGTACATAGATCTCAGCTGCCTGTGAAGACAGGTGATTGAAGATTAAAACAATGTGTATTTGTTGTCAGTCCCTGAACCCCCTCTCCTGGTTTCCCCGCCCAACATGCCACACCAAGCAGAACACACTGTAATCGGGGCTCCGCTGCTGAGGGTTTTCCCTTTCCCAGCAGCCTGGAATGAAAGGCCTTCTCCCAGCACTTTCCATCTAGGGCTCATCGACACGTTCTCGCTCCAGTCCCTGGTCACACTCTGACAAGAGGGACTCATTGAATGAGGGAGACAGTCTCTGCTCAGTGGAATATCTGAACATGCCTTCGGGTCAAGATCTGGGAGAAAGACACTGCATTAGCCTGTGTCTTAAAATGCAAGGAAATTTTTAAAAATCCAATTAATTATTTTATTGTACCGTGAGTTAAATGTGATCAAAGAATTATTGTTCGCACCTTTAGCTTAGGTCTTACATCTAATGTTCTCATTTTTCAAGGTTTTATTTGGCTGGAAGTGAAGGCTTTTGAGCCCATTGTTTGTTATTGTTTTTCCCAATAGGTCTACTTCCCCAGCAGGGCAGCACCACTCTCCTATATCTTCTAGACACCACTCCTCGTCCTCACAGTCAGGATCTTCTATTCAGAGACATTCTCCTTCTCCTCGTCGAAAACGAACACCGTCACCATCTTACCAGCGGACAATAACGCCACCATTGCAGCGCTCTGCTTCTCCGTATCCTTCACATTCTTTGTCTTCTCCTCAGAGAAAGCAAAGCCCTCCAAGACACCGTTCTCCAATGCGAGAGAAAGGGAGGCACGATCATGATCGATCTTCACAGTCTCATGATCGGCGTCATGAAAGGAGGGAAGGTATGTATTGCACTACAGCTTAATTTTCTTTTTAAGTTTTTATTTAGATATTTTCTTTATTTAAAAAATTTGCATCTAATTTATAACAAGGGAGAGAGGAGGAATGTACTATTTTAAGTCTTCTGTACCACATAGACTAGAGAAGTCTAGAGGGTGATAGGAGATGCTGACAAGACACTGTAATGCCAACATTTAAGTAGAGACAAGTGGGCATTTTTCAGCATATAAAGTTACTGGTGCTTTCTTTAGATAAGTTGGCATTCTACTGAGTACTCTTAAATGTTTGGTTAACTGATTCTTAGATTGTCCCTCTCAATTGCTTAATTACTTTTTATAAAAAGACAAAAAGAACAGAAGGAAATTGGAGAACAGAACTTGAACGGATAAGAGTCCTTTGATACAGGGGTGTGGGCTGGGAGGAACCCGCAAGAGGTTGCCAACAAGCAAGCAGATTTCTAGATGTGATGTATAGCGATGAAATCAACAAGGCTGGCTTCCTTTCTAGATGCCTGAGAAGTAAGCTACTTTGACTTGGTTACGCCCTCTAGAAACTGCAGAAGGAAGATCACCTAGCATACCGTCGGATGCCTCTCCTCCTCTTTACTCTTGTCTTGTTCCTATGTGTTTCACTTCACAGGGTTTCTTCCCCCCTCCTAACTTCTTCTGAGTTAAATTTTAAGCTTAGTGAGTACTCAGGGAATGCTTACTTCATACCCTTTTTATTTAATATGCATTTTAAAGCCTCTCTGTCAGTACAGTGTAATAGTTTCCTATGAAACATGTTGAACTTAGTTATTCTCTTCCTATCAACAGTGCAAGCAATAATTAATCAAGTTCTTTTATTCAAGAAAATGATGGATGCATAGGTAGGGACCGGAGAGAGCACCTATTTTGTAGAATTATTCCTTGTGTGCATGATTTTGGAGCCAGAGCAGCACAACAGTATTTATGGAGCATTGGTAAGATGAGAAAATTCTCTTATACCTATCTATTTTAATTTTAATAAGATAACAAATAGAGTTGACTAGGGATATAGTATACATTTAATGAGTGCTTAATGAATGAAAACTTTTCCGTATTATTTCAAAACATGAGTACTAAACATACGAAAGAAGGGAAATCAGTATGTAGATAAGCCTTGTCAGGGTGCTTTGTGGTAAGGGATACTTATGTTACAGGAAGAATTCTTTTAGTAACAAATCGTGTATTTTACTTCTTTTTAACCTTCTATGCCAGAGTTACGGCACATACCGATGCCCCTGTAGTTCAGAGTTGTTTTGTGGTGTATGGTGATGTCAGCGGGAGGGTGTGTCTGTACAGACAGATGGGGGTCAGGAGAGAAGGGTCTGGAATAAATCAGCCAGTCCCTGGGCACCATTGCTACTTGGGGAGTAGAAGTCACAAATGTGCATGCAGAGCTACCACATTTTAGCCTGATGCTTCTGCCCTTCAGTGGCATCTCTGGATCTATGCGTTAGATAAAGTGATCGTTGAGGAAGATGGGTACTAATGTGAGAGTGTAGGGGCTTGAAGGAAACTAGATATTTGGGTCCTTGAGAAAATCTGGACCTGTCCTCTGGGGCAAGAAAAGAGAAGGTAAATGTGCAGTACATGGGCAAAAGGCTGCTATAGGTTTTTAAATAGCATCATCTGTGTGGTTAATGACAGGGTGTAAGAGCTATAAGAATCTGATCAAAAGAGCCAGGTTTCTTTTTTAGGATACTTTTGTTACTTTAGATGATGTTTAGCTATAATCAATTTATGCCTATTCCAGGCATATCTGAAGAGTAGATTCCTGCTCTCTGCCAGTTCTTAGAAAGTATGGGGTGGATTTACGCCCTCAGTCCCTAACTGAGAGCTCAACGTTTCCAACCCATCAGCCACGCCTTGGACCTCTAGGGCAGCTGTTCTCAACCTGTGGGTCGCAACCCCTTTGGGAGTCGAATGACCCTTTCGCAGGGGTCGCCCGATTCATAACAGTAGCAAAATGACAGTGATGAATTAGCAACGAAAATAATTTTATGGTTGGGGGTCACCACAGCATGAGGAACTGTATGAAAGGGTCGCAGCCTTAGGAAGGTTAAGAACCGCTGGGTTGGAGGGTGGCAAGAGCTAAGATGGGGGTCCAGCATCAGATCTGGATGGATCAGTCTAAGT